GACGCAGCAGCCAAGTGCATTCCACAAACATCTGGACTGCCCGGAAAACGACACGTCCCGTGGTGGAACACTGAGTGTCAGAATGCGCGAAAGAAACAGAACAGGGCGTGGAGGTTGCTGCGGAACTTGCCGACAGCGGAAAACCTTGAGAGCTTCAAGAAAATAAAATCTCGAGGCAGGAGAACGCGTTGGCAGGCCAGGAGAGAAAGCTGGCACAAGTTTTTATCAGGGATAAAGTCACATACATAAGAGGCTAAAGTCTGGAACATGGTTCGTAGGGTAGCAGGAAGACAAGTACACTCACTCCCACTCGTAAACACAGAGTGACAGCCTGGAAGATCAGGCGAACTTCCTCGGTGCACACTACGAGCAAGTGTCTAGCCCGTCACACTATACTGAAGCTTTCCAAAGATATAAAGCAAGGATAGAAAAGCAGAAACTAGAATACAAGTGCACAAAACACGAGGCATACAACCAACCTTTCAACTTAGCTGAGCTACAAACATCACTAAACTCTTGCAGTAATTCTGCCCCAGGCTACGACCGTGTCACGTATGAAATGTTGAAAAACCTGCTGCTCAAAACGCGAAAGACTTTACTCTCTCTATACAATGCTATCTGGCTTTCTGGCACCATCCCTGCTTCCTGGAAAGAGGCTATTGTTATCCCTATTTTGAAACAGGGCAAGGACCCTTCCTCAGTTTCAAGTTATAGGCCCGTTGCACTAACCAGCTGCCTTTGTAAACTTTTTGAAAAAATGAAAAACCGCCGACTTTTACATTTCCTTGAAACACACAATCTGCTTGACCAGTTCCAGTGTGGGTTTCGAGAGGGTAGATCCACCACCGACCATCTGGTGCGTCTAAAGTCACAGATCCGAGACACTTTCGTGCACAAACAATACTTCCTCTCGGAGTTTCTCGATATCGAGAAGGCTTACGACACAACATGGCGTTTTGGCATATTAAGAGACTTGTCTCACCTGGGTGTGCGCGATAGAATGCTTTCCATAATCGAGAGTTACTTGTCCAATCGGAAATTCCGTGTCCGTGTGGGCAGTATTCTCTCCCAAACATTTGTGCAAGAAATCGGAGTACCGCAAGGTGGTGTACTTAGTTGTACACTTTTTATTATCAAAATGAATTTCTTGCACCTGTCCATCCCCCGCAACATGTTCTATTCCACATATGTTGATGACGGCTTGGCTTTAAGTCATGCAACCTAGCAATGTGTGAGCGGCAGGTTCAGTTAGGTTTAAACAAGGTCTCCAAATAGGCAGAGGAAAACGGATTCCGGCTGAACCCAGAAAAAAAGCACGTGTATCTTGTTCTCCCGAAAGAGAGGCGTGCACTCAGAACCTGACATTGAACTGAACGGTCAACGTCTGTCTGTCAATGTGGAGCATAAATTCTTAGGCTTAATCTTGGACAACAAGTTGACCTTCGTACCAAACATCAAGTATTTAAAAACAAAATGTTTAAAAGCCATGAATGTTATAAAAGTGTTGTCACGTACTACGTGAGGCAGTGACAGGCAATGTCTCATGAACCTTTATAGAAGCCTCATTCACACCCGCTTAGATTATGGGGCCGTTGTTTATCAGTCTGCGACTCAAAGTGCTTTGAAAATGCTGGATCCTGTGCACCATTCAGGCATCCGCCTTTCTATGGGTGCTTTTCGCACCAGCCCTGTAGAAAGCCTTTACGTTGAGTCAAATGAATGGTCGCTTCATCTACAAAGAACTTACATATCCTTTGCATATTTTCTTAAGGTGAAAGCTGACAAGAAGCACCCCTCATATTCCACTATTAATGATTTGTCGAGCTCTATTCTGTTTCAAAACAGGCCTTCGATGAGGCAGCCCTTCTCAGTTCGCCTGAAGGGTCTAGCTGAGAAAACTGGAGTGTCACTTGAACACAGTTTAATGGCTCCTGTAGTATACCCGCCACAGTGGCAGTGGCAGATTATAGACTGCGATGTGTCTTTCCTAGAAGTTACAAAACATGCACCTATTGCCCATATCCGAAACTACTTCCTGGAACTTCAACACAAATACACACGTCCTGAGTTCTTTACAGATGCCTCCAAGTCTAGCTCATCTGTGTCCTACACTGCTGTCGGCCCATCCTTTTCGGATGCTGGCCCTCTACATCCAGGCACAAGTATCTTCACAGCGGAAGCTTACGCAATACTTGTGGCTGCTAAACACATCAAGCAATCACAAATACAAAAAGCAGTAATTTATACGGACTCCCTCTGTGTGGTTACGGCTCTGCACAATCTTAAAAAACAAAAAACCCTGTCCTCGTCTCACTTTACTCTATTTTATGCACACTCTACACACTCAAACAACATGTTGTAGTGTGCTGGGTGCCAGGGCACCGTGAGATCCAAGGCAACGTGATGGTGGATCAGCTTGCTGCATCCGTCCACGAAATCAGTGCCACTACACCCATATAGATCCCGCCCCTTGATCATAAGCCGTCTCTCAAACGAAAGCTCAGGGACTACTGGCAGAGCAAGTGGGATAGACACACACAAAACAAGCTACACGTTATCAAGCCACACCTTGGCCATTGGCCACCAGTATCAAAATCACGTCTAACAGAGGTAACACTAACAAGGCTCAGGATAGGACACACATACACGACACATTCATATCTTTTGTCTGGTGGTGATCCACCATTGGTGTGACAGATGTGGTGAGGCATTAACAGTTCTTCACATTTTAATCCAGTGCAAACAGTTAGAAACTCTAAGAAAACAACACTTTCCATTACCCTACCGACAACATATACCATTACACCCCGCAATGTTTGTCGGTAGAGAACCACTTTTCACCCATAAATCATTGCTAGCTTTTTTAAGAGATGTCGGTTTTTACCATGTAATATACCCAGGCATTGCGTAGCGTGGCCTCTCAAGAGAGGTTGCTGCTGCAGTGGCTACATTGAGAAGCACTTGCCTCTCGGCCCTTGGACACAAGGGCGCTGATGAGGCATTTGTGCTAGTGCCAAATATTTTTACACATGTTTTTATTATCGAAACCTTTTGTCACCCATTTTCACTATCCATATCATGCCATTGCCATGATTTTATTAGTTATGTTTTTACCCGCGTTAGCGCGAGGAATTTTAAGACCCCTATACAGCCACGCACCATATCATTGTCCACATATTTAGTCACTGAAATGACACTTTTTGGCCACCAATTGGCCCTTGCGCCATTAAGCCCTACACATCACCAAGCATGCAAATTTATGACATGACGTGTGTTCAGTATATGCGTTCTTTTATTGGCCATCAGGTGTATATGGTGTTCAGGTGCGGGCGGCATTATCCTTTTATTATGACCGACGAAATGCAGAGCCTGGGGTCTTATCGCTATTTTCAGAAGTGTTCCTTGACTTTCCGCCGCCTTTAATACAGCACAAGTGTGTTGGAAACATGCTGTCTTTAGCGCTGCCAAGGCAGCACACTCGTTTCAGACGAGCTGCCTCGAGGCCACGCTGCAGTAGAAGAAAGTGCGCAGGGGGCAAGTGCTATATAAAGGCATGGCCATTAGCGGTCTTCTATCTAATTAAAGCAAATGCCGCTGGGGAGAGAGCGAGCGTTGCTAGGCACTTCGAGTACTAATGTGTCACGACGGACGGACGGGGGGGGGGGGGGGGGAAGGCTTGTTCATAAGCTGCTTCACATATAAAAAAAAAGAGAGAGAGAGAAGGATGCAATGGGTACACGTTTTGCTCTATCACGTTTCTCAGAAGTTAACAGCCATAGGTTTGAAATTCCTAGGTGGAGGGCTTAACTCGTGTTGGTTTTCTTTGTAAATGTACGATACTGAATCGGTTTAAGGGCACCTTTAGAAACGTTTATACATACTAGCTGGGGTGTATTGAACTTCGGAGTGAGGTGCAACTCTCTATATTTTCTCTCTTTTTTGTACAGGAAGTTTGACTGAAGTACGTAGAGTTTTGAGGTTGTCAAAGTTGTGTCCTGCTATGTTAAAATGCTGTGCCACTGCTTTTGGTAATTTCTTTGCCACTAATGTGACATTAACAGGCTGTATTGTTTTGCCAGTGTACTGTTAATGACAATACGAAGATTAGATCGTGTAGGTAACTTTCGCACTGGTGCTGGTAAAACTAGATTCTATATAATGGACATAATCACTCCTGGTGCTTTCAACTATCACGTCATTTTGAAGATGTTTGCGTATCTTGCATCTCGGACGGTAGCAAGGTGTTGAATGGACTTCAGGTTCAGGTTTAGTTTTGCATGCACCGTCTCCTTAATATTCATATTGCAGCGATACGCGATATTTGGTACTTCGGGAAATAGTTTTCTAAGCCGCTCATTGCTTGCCAGCATTGGATAATACTTACGAAGGGTAGTATTTATTTTTAAGAAGCATTTGAGTATTCGGTTGTACATGCTGGCCGCTGGTCGGGTGGTGCTACGGGGGCCTTTTAAGTAGTGTTGTTTTCCCGTCTAGTTTACGTGCTTTGTTGTAGGCCTAGTTTAGGGCGTCTTGCGCGTAATTTCGTTCAACTAATGTTTCCCTTAAGTTGCCCAAGTGGTGAACGCATTCACCGTCATTGTTACAGGACCTTCTTATTCCCCTTGCATGACATACATGATAAAAAAGAAGCGGCAGCCAAATACTTTGATCAAGTACAAAGCTGTGAGGAAATTCGAGGCATTGAGACCTGAAAATTTAGATTTTTCAAAAGGAGGCTACGATTTTTAGAAATGATCAGAAAGACACGGAAGTCAAACTGATCGTATTGAAATATACCTACTTCACTGATAAAAGTGGATTTGGCAGAGGAAGCTATAAGAAAGTACTTGAGTGCTGTGCGAAGCCAGCAGTTTTCAGTTGTTATAAAAGACGTCGTATTGTATTCCAAGCCAGTCATGCAATATCCTTTTAGAAGGATACATCCAACAGCAATTGTGTGTACAAAACGCTTCGAATGCAAATTAGCGACTTCTGTGCAGGCACTGCTAGAAGACCGCACCACCAACCGACTGGTGGAATCCCGCAGCATCTTCGAGACCATAGTGAACAATCGGTGCTTCGCCGAGGTGTCGATCATCCTGTTCTTCAACAAGACGGACTTGCTGCGCGAGAAGCTCGCCTCGCGCGCCACCAGCATCGCCGACTACATCGACGGCTTCAAGGGCGACCCGCACAACCTCGCTGACGTGCAGCGTTTCCTCGTGAACTGGTTTTACGAGGCTCGCCGCAGCCAACACAAGCCGCTCTTTCACCACTTCACCACTGCGGTGGACACCGAGAATATCAAGGTGGTGTTCAATGCAGTCCGCGACACCATTCTGCAGAAGAACATCACACAGCTGATGCTGCAGTAAGCGACCGGCCAGACTCCTTGCTTGTGCGTTGGCGCGGCCGTTGTCACTGCGGTGATTTGTCAGGCACGTTACGTTGAAGATTGCAACGTTTGTCGCCCTCACACCAGTTTGATCATTGTAACTGGTCGCTGCAGCAAGCGTTCATTGCGTCTTATTAAGGCAGCGTTGGAGAACTTACTGTGCGATTCTTATTACACGTATGAAACTATTAATTCAATGCGCAGCGTCTCGATGCAGTGGCAGTTCAGCCATCGAACCAACAGCTGAGAAAATACCAACTAACTCTCTTAAACAAGTAATTAAGGCAAGGGAACGTTCTCTTAAGTTGCGAGGGATTGTGTTGATTGCCAAACGAGTTTAGCTTCTTAGATCTTTCATGTGCTCATAAAACTTGCACCACAGATCATCACTACAATGGCACCTTGCACTGTGTTCGTGCAGCTGCCCGCCGAGCTGCAATTTTATGGCAGTGTGTTCACTGCTCTAGTCGTGAAGTGCAGCTCCAAGTGAATGTTTATTTTGTTTCTATTGGGCACGAACCTCGCTCCATTCAGGGGCATGCATGGGAGTACAAACGGGAAACTTCAGTGTACATATTGTAAATATGCTTACCAAGTGCCTCATCCTTCTTAGAGTCAGCATGGCGCAGCATTCCAGTGACTCAATACTACTCCCCGTGACACAGTGGAAATGTCTGCCATGCGTTTGCGTGGATTAGTTCCGCATCGACAGGAAGAGGCAAATCTAAACTACAGGGATGAAGTTAGCGTTGCTTGAAATACTGGCTGTCAGCCAATCATGCGTGTTATTTTTCTGTGGTTTTGTGCATGTTGGCAGTTTCCCAGGTGTGCATATGAACAGTTGGCTAGAACAAGACGAGATGGTTGAATTCACACATCGTGAAGTTGTTGCGGCCAGTCGAGAGAATTCCACTTTTGTAGGATAGTGTCGCCGTTGCCAAAGCCGACATCTCAGTGTCGTCACGTGCTCTTGATTGTGTGCCGGCTGTGCGGTTAGAGGAGGGAACCCAGTGTAGGGGACAGCCCAGGGTCATTTAATTTCTGAGGAGACACGCTGCTTATGTCGTGGCCCCTCATTTTGAAACCCACTCATTTCAAGCTGTGATTCGCTGACATCGAACATGGAACTTGCAAGTGATATGCATTTCCAAGCTTGTGCCCAAGGTCGAGTTCTGCTTTTACATTGTCTAGTACATTTCCTATATTTACAAAATACTCAAAGAAGTTCAGTTCAGAAGATTGGTGTTTTTGATTCTAGCTACTCAAACATCCCCGGGTCCACAAGTTAGCTATTAACGTTTTAAGTTTGGCGCTAGTTCTGATGAGATTTTACCATACCGCGGCCTGTGGCCTTATGTTGGGATACATGCAGGTAATGGTCTCATACTCAATTTTTCGTTACCTTGCCGTTGTCTTCACGTTTGTCTGCCAAATGCAGTATTGCGTGCCAAGTTGTATACTGGTAGTTCCTCCTTACACCATGGAGCGAAACTGAATTTTTTTTTATCACTACAGTTTCATCACATGTTGCATGTTAGTGGTTTGCCTATATTGGGGAGCTGTTTGTTCTTCACATTGTATGGCGGCCTGAGTGCTTGAGCTGCTGATGGCAGCTACCTGCTCGTATTATATATGATGTTGAACAAACGCTATCTTATCACTCGTGAAAATGGGAACACAGTGAGTGTTTCTACGGCGCAACAGCAGTGGCCTGTGTTGTTGTGGTGTCCGATGCAAGAAACTCATTTTGCAACTTTCTATGCCTCGTCTCGCATGCATTCATCTTCGTAGCTCTCCTACATGCTCTAACAGTGCAGTCAAATCCACGGGCATGGCTGGGAAGTGTTTCACCTCGTAAGCCAGTTTAAGGCCTACAACTGGCTGTTGCCCGAAACCTTCTTGTATGTTTCTAAGCAGTAAGTGTTTTTTTTTTTTCTGAACCTTCTTGACCTCTTCCCTAAAAGTATAAATATATTATATATATATATATACACTATTGCTTCACCTCGCATTTTCTCCAGTGTGCAACACCGCAAACAGCTTATGTCATGACCGTGCTTACGTGTCTGTCGTTTTATTAAGTAACATCTGTCATGCCTATACAGGAGGTTGCCTGTCCTTTTTATAAATTCCTCGTGCAGCTGAACAAATTTTGATGGGGCAGCTCATATAATGATCGCTCATTCAAGTACTGGTGCTACTTGCAGTAGCTTGTTGCAGAGACTGTAGTATGACCCTGTGAGGTGTGGCGTAGCTACCTTTTTCGTTGCCCCCATTTGTATTACTGTAAAGATAGAACAAGTCCTTTTTCACACGGCGGGGTGTTTGTGACATGTACCGTGGAAACGGAGATGGCAGGGTAACGACACGCTCCGCATTTACAGTCGGGTGACCTCAGATGCACCGTTCGATTTACGCATTGGGTCCGTCTGTGCGTTACTCGCGAATGTACCGCCTCAACGCAGTACCGGTGCGAAGTGCCTGGACCTCGCACGAAATTGAGAGGAGTCGCACGTGCCTTACAACTCCATTGTGCTGCGATTGTCGTGTGCAGAGACGAGCTTATGAAGCAGTTCACTTCGACTGAAGCGTCGCTAGTGACTGTTGCTGGGGCTTCACTCAGGGAAAGATAGTCCGGGCAGTGTTCTCAGTGGTGACAGTATTGTTTATGGTTACCGGTGATGCATGTCACTGGTGATGCACACATCACTAGAACTGTGCAATTCTCTACAGTATAGTACTGGTGATGCGTGCACTTAGATATGTATTTTGCCCTGTAAGCCTTTTTTTTGCTGCTGTGCCTTACAAGGGGGACAGGTCTGTATGACCTCGCGCGTATTTGTCATTGCCAAGCCATCCTGCCCCTCTGCATTGTTATAAAATCTGCTCTGTCATTTACGTTAGAAGCTGGAAGAGCGAGCCTTTTTTTTCTTTTTGCTTTTCCTACACTTGCTGTTTGTGAGATGGCATTAAAACAACCCTTTATAGTGAAAACAGACGTACAAGGTGTGTGTGTGTGTGGTCGGATCGGTGGCCATTCGATCGAGGGTCCAGTTTTTCTTCTTTTTGTGTGTGTGTTTTCGGTGTGTGCAGGAGTGGAGTTACTCATGCAAAACGAACAGAATGCAGTTATTTTAAGTTTTAAGAAGTTTTGGAAAATAAATGTGGAAACGCTATTATGCCCTGTCGTTCTTTGTCTGCTGCTTACCATCTAGGTCAACATTCCTCCCTGTACATGTAGGACCACCCCTCATTGCAGTTAAGCCAGCCATGTGCTGTGGTAATGATAGTGGCATGACGACGCGCATTTGTTAAAATGTGTGGCATTCTTGTGCCCTCTTGCTTGCTATATTCCTCCGTACCGCCATGGACGTTCACTTAGCACAACACCTAGGTGCTGCGTGAACAATTGACAAATTCTTCTTTGAGAAAAAAAAATGATCATACTTTAAGTGGCTTATTCATAGGGAGAATGAGGAATGTTCATCATCTTCATAGTGCAAACTCGTGAACACTGACAAATTATTTTATGCTCCACTGCGTCTCACGGTCTCCCCATTTTGGCGCATTTCTCGAAGGTTCACTCCCCTAACATCCTCCGCCCCGGCTTCTCGCAGCACACGCAGCCCTCCCCATCCTACCCAGCCTCACTCTCCCCACGATATGAGACTGCGCGATCAGCACCACCACAACCCTGAACATGAAAGCCCCAGGGTTTGGCACACTGCGATTGGGACCCCGCACCCTCCCAAAAATTTTTTTCTCCGTGGCATACATAACACAATGAGACACTTGACCACATCTACCTGCTCAGCCCCGTTTCAAATCAAAGTGATCCCTTAAAAAAATATATATTTATATATATCTGCCTGCACCTCTGCGTATAGTGTGGCCTTTGCTGCCTTTGGCAGTGGCTATCGAGACGATCTGCTGGTAAGGGGTGGTGTCTTCAAACGCGCCGTCAGTACAGCACTCCTTCAGAGACTGTACACACGACATTAGCAATCCCAAGAACCCCTGTTTAATTCTGACTGCACCACGAGAGCGCAACTATTCACTCCATATGCTACCTTTAGCACAGTGTTCACAGAACAGGACTGAAGGCACTTGAAAGCTCTGAGCTTTCAGTTCAGCTCTTGGCAGTCCAGGAGGCCCGAACGGGCGGAGGGCCATAATCTTCGAGTACTGGCGTTGGCTCGGCCAGCAACTGTGGCGGGCCCCTCTTCGGGGGGTGTCTGACCGGGGTTCTCCAATACCAAATAAACATTATTTCACCTTCACCAGATCACTAAAAAAAATGTCTAAGAAACAGAAAAACGCTGGCCAATTGAGCCCGATTAAGAGCAACAAAAAAAAAAACCAAAAGTGACCATGTGTGTGTCAATTTTAATTTCTTTCAGTGTTAGTGAGAATCGGACTATACGGTTAGGAAACCGCAAATAATGTTACTTGTGTTTTCTTTGACTTGATTAACTTTGTATAATACAGAAAAGCGATCAAGTCACTCGGACAGTGCTCCTCTTTTGTACCTAATCGTATGCCCTATGATTTATACTGAATGTCATATTCATGTCATTTACACTACATTAAACTCTTCTTTTCTGTCATGCTTCCTGTATCTGATTGTTCGCACATTTTGTCTTTCTTAATTACAGTATTCATGCTGAAAACCAGCTATTGCTCTTTGTACTCGTTGCATATAAACTGCTGAGCTCATTTTTTATGTAAACCTAGAAAGGTGGTCACAATCAGTTTTTTGGCTTTGGAAGCTCCTATTGCATATTAACATCCTAGCTGGATTCTTCCAGTCATTTAATCCTCACAGTAATGAAAACTACATGTCAATTTTCATTTTCGGTGTGAGCACTGTGTCCTCTACCATGAACACCTATTCAAAATGCCTGCACCACGACTGTAATGAGGCTATGAGGATGTGCATATAATGAGCAATCACTCTGTCACAAATGTGCTGGGCCGGTGTGGTAAATGTGAAAAAAAAAGGATATGTATAATTCACCATCAGCCTGACTACGCCCACTGCAGGGCGAAGGCCTTTCCTGTGTTCCGCCTATAAACCTGCCAGAATAAGAGCTACGCAGTGAACAAACTGGTTATTTGATGTTTGCCAAAACCACGAAGCAAACACACGCGTTATATTTAACCGCAGCTGTAGAAGGAGCTGTAGAAATCTGCTGGGAAATGTAGCAGCATCCGTGTGTAGCAGTGGCGTCACAGAACAGCTACCAGTTTGGTGGCGTCATCTCCCGGCGTTCGCGTCACAGGAGGATGTAGAAGCATGGCCTCCGAGATGACAAACGCGCAATGTGTTTTTCGCCGTCATATGCTCAGAAGTGTGGCCGTTTGGGCTAGTTGATATGACATCATCATAGTTATAGCACAAGAACAGAACGACAACAAAGTGACCTTCTTGTTTTTTTGTCGTCGTTCTGTTCTCGCGCTATAACTATCGTCATGCCATATGCTTGCCGTGCGCCTGCCATCTCAAAGGCCACAGTAAAAACCGTAGAGTTAATATACAGTATATTAACTCTATGGTAGAAGCGCGGCCTGTAGCACCACTAAAGTATATTTATGGGAGACATAAAGGAAGGAATAACTGAATAAACTTCCACGCAGGAAGTAAGTTTTTCTTATTCTATGGAGTTTGTAAGCTGCAAGCGGAGGCCATGGGGTGGCGCTACCTTTACGTCCTCGCTGTCGCATACTGTGGCATGTCACCGATGTCAAGCGCGTAAAGTTTCTCTGTATATCTGTTGTTGTGCCTGAAGATCGAAAAGGATGCCGTGTATGTGCTGCATACCACGGTGTCGATCCGGTGAGCCGAGAAAGGACGAAAAAGTACCAATGCCCTGGCCGCCTGGAGACTGCGAACGGCGGGAAAAGTGGAAACATGAAACTGGCGGTTTCGCATTTGTTTCCCCGGATGTGTGCAAAAAACACTTAAGTGAGAGTGAGATCTTTCGCGTCGATAATCGGAAGAGTTGTGAAGTCGACGGTGCCGAACGGAGCTTTAGCAGGACGCTGTGCCGAATATTTTTCCACGGCCTCCCGGGGTAATTGTCCAGTGCATACACGTCATGTGCTCGCCCGTGTAAAAAAAAGCGTCACCGGGAACTGTCAGCTAAGCTGGAGACCGTCCGTCGAGGTTGCACTAACACTCTCGAGCCCCCTTGACACAGTTGCCGTGGATGCTGAAGCAGTTAATCAAGGTGAGCAAACAAATTGACCCCTTCTTCCTCCTCGCATGTCAGTAATGCAAAAGTTCGATTAGTAGTTAAATGCTCGCCGTTCTCTTTTACACAAGCATTGAGATTACTGACAGTGTAAAGGTGACATGATACCATGCAGCTCCTCACAGTTTCAGAAATTCAAAGCAGATACCCTTTGCTTGGAACAGAGGTTTTAGCGCTGCCGATTGAAGCTTGCTAGGGTAACGGCGCAAGAGAAGGTGAAAAGTGAACCAATATCCTAGAAAACTTGCGCAAGCTGTCAAAGCGTGAACAGTTAATTTTCGATCAATGCGACATGAGTACGAGGAGACCATTCTTTTTGCGTCATGTGTTGATGCCGCCGGCGTGGGTGGCGCAGCCGGTATATTTTCACGTTTGATAAAGGCCTGACCCCACACGTACCTGTTTCAGCGCGTCTGGTGGTGGTGGTAAAAACTTTATTCGTGCGAAGGCCAGCCAAAATGCAAAATAATAATAAAAAGCACAGCATATCTACGGAGTGAATGATGATGACTGGGGTGAGGCATCGCAGGGTTTTATCGGTGAACCGTTAATCGTCCGTACGTCTACCAATCTGCCTGTTCGTCTGTCTTGTCTATATGTCCGTCTGTCTATCTGTCCGTACGTCTGTCTATCTGTTCGTCTGTCTGTCCGTTCGTCTGTCTCCATGTCGCTCCGTTCGTCTGTCGTCTTTCCGTCCGCCTGTATGTCCCTCTGTACGTACGTCTGTCCGTTCGTTCGCACCTGCTGAGTAAGTCATCGAGCTAGGCGGTCACGTACGAGCTAAAAGGAACAAACCCATGGCTTTAAAAGCTTCGCCCCTAAAAATTAAAAAAAAGCAGCGTTTTGGACGGCATTCAGACTGCCGGTTGTGGCGTCCAGGCAGCGCTTAGCCGCGACGTCCTCCGCCCAAGTCACCAGTCGAATTTGCAGGCCCGGCCTGCAAAGTGCCCGTGTGACACCGCTTTAAGTTATAACTCTCGAAATGCTGAAATGGCATAAATTACGCTGCACAAACACTAACGGACCGTGGGTACGTTGCCAGTTCTCACGCATGATTTGTACAAGTCAGAAGAGTCGCCTTTGCGGATCTTTCGGGAATCCGAACATCGTATAGCCATTTCACGAGTGGATGAATTTGTGCTCTGTGGCACGCAGCACCCAGACATTCTGCCCGAGAAAACGCCGTGCACGTGTCTCACTCAACCAGCCGCGACGAAACGGGCGGGGGGGGGGGGGGGGGGGAGTCGAATGGCGGCCGTGCCGATCGGAAGGCGGCACTACGGTGTTCTAGAAAGAACGCTGTAGCGGCACTCACGCCTTCGGAGACTGGTTCCACCCTTCAAGAGGGCGCGCGCGTCGAGGAACCTTAGCAGGAGGCATTGACGAGAGCTTCGCTGCGTGGAGTGCACGAGCTGGAGAACTGGGGAATCCGGCTGCGTCAGCAATCAGTTTAGGTCGTTCTGCTAAATTTGTACGACGGACGACGGCTGTGACACGGATGTTGTAGGTGGCCTCGTCTCATAAGAAGAGCTGGTTTGATGTGAAATGCTGGTTCTCCGGGTTATGCGCCGTCGATCACGAGAAAAAAAAAAGTTGGCTCGCTGCCATTGGTGACAATATAACTTGGTCACGCACGGTGACCAACCGTCTTGAAGAATCCGGCAAGTCTTTTGTTTTCTTATTTGTTAAGCTGGTATGTTCTCGCATGAAGTGAAGCTACCTCTTCGAGGAGAGAGTGTCAGCTTTTGGTAGAGGTGCCCGCGCGTGACCACGCCCTTTGAATCGACGTAGCAGCTTTCGTCACCATGCATTCGCATTATATCAAGTTGGAACGAAAAAAAGAAAAAAACCAGGCGGTATTTAGTCATCCATGACTTTCGCTGCAGCACTTCGATAAGACGGAGGCAGTGCGCGGTGCTGCA